CTATTTGTCTTCTTGAAGCAAAGGATCTCTTACAAATCGGTGAGCGTGATATCCATACTCTAGCAGGGCATCAGATCATGACAAATGATGATATTTTGGAGGTTGTTGCCAAAGAATTCACTGGTATGGTTGCTGAAATTATAAAGAAAAGGATGTGGGCAGGTGCTATGGGAAGCTCAGATGTGCTGATCGTTGACAAGCCTTGAGATCAAGCTAGCATCAAACCAATGGGGAGATTGTTAGATCTTATTTTGTTTGGTTTGTGTTAGGAATATGCATGTTAGGCTTTGTTATTGTTTGTTAGGGCTTTTTTTGTGTTTTCGGTTGGTTGGACCGAAATCAGCCTTGATTTTGGTCCCTTGGTGTTTTTGGTTTTGGGTTGGCTTGTACATTTGTGTTCCATATAAAAGGAGACTCTTATGACCGATTAGAAGGCTAGCAGTTTTCGGTCATAGCGTTGTGAAGCCATTGTACCAGACGATTATTGAATACAATCGTGTGCATTAGATTGGATGGATTTCGCTTCTTCTTGTTCTTTCTTTGATTCATCAGTTGCTATTTGATTTCGGTTGATCACTAGTTGGTTCATTGTTTGGGACTTACAACTAAGTTATTTAAGCCATCAAGTGGGATATTTTTAGGGTGTGAAGACTTGAGCAAAGGTGCTCTTGGTGAGAAAATTTTATCCTAGTGATACATAGGTGCTCCTGGAGAGCAAAGGTTTCCCTAGAGAGAAAGGGTGCTCTTGGTGAGCAAAGTTGATGTTAGTGATCTAAAGGTTCTCTTGGTGATCAAAAGGTGCTCATAGTGAGAAAATGTACTCTTAGTGATCTAAAGGTACTCTTGGTGATCAAAAGGTGCTCTTGAGGTCTAAAGGTGCTCTTGGCGATCAAAAGGTGCTTTTGGCGATCAAAAGGTGCTTTTGGCGATCAAAAGGTGCTCTTGAGGTCTAATGGTGCTCATGGTGATCAAAAGGTGCTCTTGATGATCAAAAGGTGCTCTTGACGTCCAAAGGTTCTCTTGGTGCTCCGATGTTGTCTTTTAAGGTTGAAGGTTCTAGAAGCACCAACATGACATCGTATGATTGGTTGGGAATTAGGGCAGCCCCTTTATGGACTAATTATGGATAGACTTGACCCATCATAATTAGAGTTTCCCATGCTTGCCTATAAATAAGCTCATATTTCTAATTTGTGGCTAGTTTTTGTGAGCACTTTCAAGAGAGCAATCATTATGAGAGCACATCCTTTGGAGCAGTTTGTAAGCAAGAGTGATTCTTTTGTTTTGAGAGCTCAAGTGAGGTACAACACTGAGTGATGGTAATAGTTCTTGAAAGTGTGATAAAATCCCCTCTCTCATTCACCCGTGTACATAGGTCACTTTTAACGGACCACATTAAATACTATGTTCAGTTTTGATTTCATTTTTAGAAGTTTTATTCCACAAAATAGGGGGTTACAACTAGTATTAAGAGGAGGGGGTGTTAAAAGATCATTACTAGCCTAATGGAACCAATCTTATTATTAAGAAAGATTTTAGAATATTATGGAAGACTACGGAAGATTCCGAACATACCGGAAGACTCTATAATATTCTGGAATGAAAAGGACGACCATGGATGGTTATGGAACATTGTAGAATATTTTTGAAGACCCTTGGATGTACTAGACTTTCTAGGACATGGTAGAATGTTCTAGAAACACGTCGAAGCTTATAAGGCTTAACAAATATTTCAAGAACTATATTGTAAGTACTCATTGTGTAGTAATATTAGAACTTCCAAAGATTAGGTGAACGGTTAGAAAATACATATAAATATGTATAGATCTCATTTGCACCAAAGCTTCCCACCATCCAATATCCAACATCCAAACCATCCAAGAAACAATTTAGTGAAAGTTGAGCGTAGTAGTCTCTTAAAGTATAATATCCCTTTATACGTTTTTAATAATAAGTGTTAGTGTTTCCCACAAAAGAGTTGTGCTCAACATATTAGATGTAGTGGTAGTAACAACAAACAGAAATCCTAAAATTGGGTTTTTGATTCACAATTAATAACATATTGCATCTGATATAACAACCGCAGTTAAGGCTAACCACCCAGACCCAAAACCTACAACAAATTCAGCACCAAACAAACAGCTTGAGACCAATCTAGAAATAACAGTAGTTTGGCATTTTTTAGAAATGTGATCACTCTATATTCAAATTTTCGCCGCTATCGGGATCAAGGGTTAGCTCAAGCGAAACATGATAATGATCGCTTCCATAAAACCCTACAAGAAAATTAAGACACTTTAATGATGGTTCTAAATGATACTCATAAGAACTATTTGGATTTGATATGTAGGATATGACAAGATATGTTGTTTTGTGTATGACATGCATTAGAATGAGACTGTTGACAATTGTAAAAAGGATAAAAGTTGATAATTTTTTGTCCTATCCAAAAAGGTTGTAATCTAAAATTGCTCGAAACAAGTAACCAAGAGTAAATCATACCCTCCATTTCAATTCCATGTCATCCATTTTACATTTGACAATCTTGCCCTTAAGTTTTTCCAACACCATGTGATAGTATGTTCTCATCCTTTTACCACAATACCTATAAAAATTTATATAAATAATGGAAATAACGAGAGGTGTGATATGAAAATGACCACTTCAACATTAATAAAAGCATATACATTCTGATATGATTGCGAGACCATGAGAAACCATAGTCCATGCATATGTCCTTATGTAAAAAACTGTGTGCGTCTATCAACTTTTCCTAAAAAATTACACAAACAAAATCAAAGATCTTGCATATAGACGCTATGTTGCAAAAAATGGTTATTGTTCAAGCAACCACTAAGTTGGATCACTCTAAAATGCCCCAAAGTATCATGTATACAATATATACTCGTTGAGAATGGTACCAAAGTGCTTCCTCTCCGACAATGGAAAGTTAGGTTGCCCGCAAGATAGGCAGAAGTTTAAACTTAGTTTTTAAAATTAAAATTGACGGACTCGATTACATATTCTCTTGAAGTATATTACCTCTTTGTTTAAACAAGTATAATAGTTAAGCTTTGTATTTCACAAATTTTTTGGATGGCTAACATCAATCTCTTCATGACTACAAAGAGAAAAATAATTACAATCATATAATCAATTGCAACAACATGGGTTGCAGAAGACATTGTTTTATTTTGCTTCAGTTTTTTGTTTGAAGATGTAATAAGCAAATAATCAGTTGTTTAGAATGTACCATACATTAAGATTGTCACACCATATAAGGGGCTTATTAGTAGATTGCAAAATGAATTCTTTCATCCTTTTATCCTACTTTTTTCTCCTCTAAAATGAACTTTCTTCGTCTCCGAGCTATTATTAGGTGCATGTGCATTCATAATATATAATGACTCCAATTCAACAATGATAAATCACCAATCCCGTTCCTTCGGTCATATACTAATGTATTTTTCAATTTTGTTGTGGAAAAAACTGAAACATATTATCGTAAAAAAATCGTTATTCTATATTTTTATCTAATATAATTATTTTATGTTTTTTCTCTAAAATTAATAATATGAGACTTTTGTATAGCAATGTACTTTCATTACACATAATAAAGCAATATGTTTTCATTATACAATGACCTCGTAAGATCACAAAAAATTTCAAGAAATTAAAATATAAAATAGTCACGAAACATTAATTTAGGCAATCCTAAAACATAAAATATTTTAAAAGACAAAAATATAACATTAATAATTTTTTTCTTAATTATCGGAAAATATTACATTGGGTTTTTCATGGTTTTCTTTTATTTTTTACTATATCAATATACTTTAATTTATCCTCATTAAAATTGTACTATCAAATTATCGGTTTATTTGGTTTATTTGGTTACTATATTTCAGAATATCTATATGATTATATAACAGATAACATGTTAATTTTAAATCGGTTTTTTATTGCTTAACAAGTAGATTTTTTCAAATACAATGTCTTAATAAGAAAACATTTAAAACTAAATTGTTATAACAAGAAAAAAAAACAAAAGTACTTACCACAATAGTAAGATGTTATAACATCATACTTTAAGTTCATTTCTATTACAATACTATACTTTCAAATTATTTTTATTAAGATAACGTACTTTTAAAATCTAGAAATTATAACAATGAGGGAGGGATTTTTTTTTCTTTTGCACATTCCTATAGTTATAATTAGATAGATTTTTTCAAAATACAGTCTACTCTAATAAATGAATGTTTTTTTTTGTCACTTGTCACACTCTCATTCGATTTCCCAAATGTCATTTTGTGGTTATTTTGAATTTTTTTTTCCACATGTCATTTTATGAGTTTTTCTATTTTATTAAATTTCACATAATATTTTAATGTAATAATTACAATAAATATAATAATAAATGGATATCAATTTCATTAATCAACTTACCTTTTAATTTAAAATTTTCCAAAATTAAAACTCATTAGTTTCTTTTATTTATTTATTTAAATTTTTTTTTTAAATTTAAAAGATAAAAAACATTTCCGTTATAATAATTTATTATTTTTCTTATTTTCATATAAATTCAAAGTTCTCAAATATTTTGATCTTTATATGTAACTTTTTTTTTTAAATTAACTCATGTAATACATGGGTCTCACAACTAGTACTCTAATAAATGATTGATTTGGAAGTAAACTATTATAACAAGAAAAAAATGAAAGTACAACAGAAAAAGGTAAATCAATCATTTCTTGCATATAATCCATAAAGATTTTGTATTATACGATAAATCGTTAACTGGAATTGATGAAAAGATATCACCTCACGTCTCACTTGAGACAAAATGTATACATTTACTACTATGGGTTCTCAATGGGTGTATTATTCATATTTTGGAGGTCATTTAAAGCAGTCTTTCTCTTGAACGGATTTAACATTAAAAAAAATGTGAGCCTTTAATCACACACATTGAAGCAAGAAATTAAAACAATAGCTAAAACTTGACTAAATATATGCAATAATGTACAAATTATTACAAACGATTCACATACAAACTTAATTAACTAAGAAGTGGTGCACAAACTCTACACATAGCCATTGCTTTAATCATGTTAGATTTAGCAGCATCTAGCAAGGGGTCAACCTGAAGTGCTTTATTGAAGCAGAATTTTGCCTCTTCCCATCGCCTCTCAGCAACAAACACAAGCCCTAGATTATTATATGCAGGAGCATAACCAGGCTGCAGCTCTAACGACTTTGTAAACATAGCTTTTGCACATTCATATTGCTTCTGTTGTCTGTAATAGTTTCCTAAATTACAAAATATTGTATGTGCTTGTTGGGCCTTTGCTAATGACAAGGCCCGTTTATATACTTGTTCGGCTTGTGAAGATGACGTGTCCGATAGTTGTAGAGATATGCCTGGCCATTTATTTACATTCAGTCAAAAAAAAGGAAAATAGCACAAAATGACCTAAAAAGTACATTGCTATTTACCTTACCTAGATTTGACCAAGCATATGAGGATTCCATGTCACGAGCAACTGCAGCCTTGAGATATGTTTGTGATGTTTTGAAGTCTTGGGTACACAGACTGTGAAGCCCAAGTTGATGCCATTGTACTGGATCTTCAGGATCCTCTGATATTGCCTAACATTTTTATATACATAATCATGAGAATATATTTACATGATCTACAAACTATAAATATGACTTACCTGTTTTAAACTATAGAGTGCTCGTTCTTGAACCTCCATTAATTCATTTTGTTCAATTTTAAATCCAGCAGCAATTTCATGTTGGGCCTTATGAACCATAGCAAGCCCAGCCCAAGCTATGGGAAGCTCAACACCAACAGACTCCCCTGGCCCTTCCTTTAATATTGAAGCCATTTCATTTCCAGCCCATGAAAGTTGTTCACTTGGATTTTGTGACCTTTCAGCTTCCCTGATTCTATGAACTGCAACAGCATATCGAGTCGCCAAACAGTTTGACTCCAATTTCACAGCCTGTTGTTGTTGACCAGAAACATATAAAGTCAAAATCAACTAAAAAGTCAAACTTTAATTGTATTTGTATGAAAGGAAAGACCATAAATAATGAATGAATCACCTTTTCCAAACACTTTCCAGAGTTTCTATGATCACCAGCCATGAAATATGCATTAGCAAGATTTGTCCACACATGAGCAGCTTTTGGGTCTGCTTTTGCTGCAGCTAATAAACATTCTTTAGCAACATTAACTCCATTGACTCTGTCTTCACAACCCTCATCATCACCATTTGCCCCTGCACCTGAGAATTCGACCCATTTTAATAACTTTTAAAAAAACATTTTTTAGTAATTTTCAAAAACATACCTGCGACTATGGAACCATATTTGCACAAAAGAAGGGCAGCATAGTTGATAAAAACAGACGGGTGGTTTTGGTCTTTAAAAATCAAATCTTGAAAACATTTTGCTGAAAGTTCCAAGTTTCCACTGAATCACAAACAGATGACCATGTTATGTTTTATCCATAATAACAATATACTTGTATTATTGATATAAAGAGAAATGTAAATTGCTATTTCCTACACAAAAAGTGAAAGCTCCTTACTTTTGAAGATGAGCCATTCCAAGGTTCCCAATGCAATCCAAGTTCTCAGGGGCAACCACCAGCAAAGATGAAAGTACTGATATAGCATTCTATATAAACAATAAAACTGTCTTAGATTTATTTTTTTTAAAGTGAGAAACCAGAGGGTGAAAAAAAAAAAGCATTTTTTTACCTGCAAATGGCCTGCTTTAAGTAGCAATACACCTAAGGTGTTCCAAACAGATGCTTGTCTAACATCACTCTTCATTGACTCATTTAACTTGAAAAGAATTTCTTCAAGCTCCTTACCCTCAAGTTCTTTCCCTGAACCATAGTCTTCTGAACTTCCCAGCAATATACACTGCAAGTTGATACAAATGGATCATTAGAAACCTTGGAAAAAGTGCAGGAGGGTAAATATGTAATAATGCATGCACCTGTGCATGATGAGTTTGAACCAAAGAAAGCAAATCTGGCCTGTCGATATCTTCATCACCACGAAGCAAGATTTCTTCTGCCTTTTCATATGCTGAAACTGCCTAAATAAATCCTTCAAACTTAGTGCAATGTTAACATATATAAGTAAGGAAAGAATGGGGAAGAATCAAGTCATCAAGATCTTACCTTTTGTGGTTGTCCCATTCTTTGATACATTAAACCAAGTATGAAATGAACATGGGCATTTTTAGGCATCTTTCTTGAAACATGTACCAAACCCTATTAAGTATTCGGGTAAAAGGTTACATAATTTATACAATTTTTGCTAAGAATATACATGAATATGAGTACTCACTGTTTTGAGGCTGCTGACTTTTTCCTCACGAGATGAAGGCACACCTGGACCATTATGATCACCTTCAGCATCAGCTCCACAATCCATGGGGAACTCCATCTTACCACTTCGTGAGCGGGATTTTACCAGTTTTTTAGATTGTTTACCTTCTAGTTCCACTGTTTCAGAATCTTTCCCCAATAAACTCATCTTCTCTTGATTGTTTTCTTCATTATTTAACCTACAAAATACATACATCACATCTGTTACATACATAATAGTTGCAGAATTAGTGATTTGAGGCAACAGATTTGTCTAAACGATATTAGTCATTGTATTGGAACCTCATCAAATTGTTCCTAACTTGGTTTTAGATCCACAATCAAATGATGCAGGATTGGTTGATGCAAGGATCAAATTCATAGGTTTATGATTTCGCCTTCAATTTAGCCCAAAAAAAATTATATACGTTTTATTGCTGACAACTCTATACATTTGTTTGAGTTGCAAAACTAACATTGATTTTCTTCGAAATTGTATGGCAAAACATTTCTATTTCTGGTACGTGTTGCGACAATTCTCCTGGTTAGCAATTTCTTCATGAATTTCTTAAACCCATATCGATTACGAAGTTAATAAACACTAGTTTGGCATCCAAAATTAAAGCATAACTCTGATGTTACAGAAAGGAGTTAACTTTCCCGAATATTAAATTGATTGCACATTTGCACTTAACTATTTTCATGAAATTGGGGAACAAAAAAATTGAGTTTAAGAGATTAAATGGTAATATAAGATCGAGAAAACAAAGAAATGTGAAAGACCTGGGGAAAGAATCGAGGGCTTCAGTATCAGTAGGAGGGTCAACGTTGAGGTCAGCTAGCACTACTATTTTCCGGGGATGCGGTCTTGACGGCGCTTTAAAGCTCTCTTCCTGAGCGACAGTGGTGACGGAGGAGAGTTGAGGTTTTGTATGGACGCCGGCGGTATGGTTAGTAACCGGCGGTTGGGACATTTTTTTTAGGGTCTAGCAGTTGTGTGGGCTGGTGAAGAAGAGCATATGACGAAACCTGAAATTGGTCATATGCTGATTTATATACTCTTTCATTTCACGGTCTACGGAAATTATTTCCTTTCTTTCTTTAACATTCTTTTCTATTTACATAATTGTTTTTCTTTACAAAATTATTTTGTCTTTCTTAACATTGTTTTCTATTTACATAATTGTTTTTCTTTAAAAAAAATATATTTATTTATGGGACAACAAAAAAAAAATGTAAAATTCATTTCTTATTTTATTAATTTATATATACAAATTTTTAAATAGCGATAATTACTTGAGAGGAATATATTTTTTGATTTTTACACATTTGGTCCTGAGTTTTTTTTCATCCATGTATTGCCCCTTCAACTTGTTTAGCTGTACGCATTCTGTGACATCCCCATTTTCACGGCCAGAAATGACCGATTTTGTTTATGCTTGTTTGAAAATGAGAGTAACATTTTAAATAAAAGTGTTGCGGAATTTGTCCAAAAACAAAATATGATAAAGATTTATCAAAAGC